GATTAAATGCATGTTCATGTCCAATACCACCAAATTGCATTCAACCAGTTCCATTTTACCAAATTATTATCAGTGTCAACTAATTATCCACTAAATCACCTGATAGAAGAGAACGGTTTTCCCACTGCCACTGAGTCCTGTCAACACTAGGGTGTTAGACTTGGTACGATTCAAAAACCGCACTACAGAAACAAACAAAAAAACCATCAATGAAAAGCTCAGAATCGAGCAAATAAGTAGAAAATCAAGAACAAAATATAGCTACTTACGTAAGAGAAGAAGCAGGGTTGTGAAAACGACGATAGCAACAGCGGCATAAAGTTGATTTGGGGGAAGCTGGCGAAGATAATCATTTGCTACACTCCAGAGATGAGAAACCTGTTCTTTCCATTGATCTAACTCTTAAATTGGGAAATCCAAGATATTTTTTCTTTATTTTCTTCAAACTCGTTTTTTCTTGAATCACTTAAAATATATATTTTTTATTACAAGGATTTTCCCATTTTGGTTTATTATGCGCTTTTATCACAATAAATTATTTTTATGACAAAATAGTGTAAATAGAGTCAAACTGTTTTTACTTTTTAAATATAGTAATTAAGAATGTAATTTTATTAAAAAAAAGTGTTAATTGTGCTATAATTCTTATGCAATTGTTATTTTTGAATTTTTCTTAGTGCAAATTTGAATAGAAAGAAATTTGAATATTGAAATACTTTGGATTTTGAGAACTAGTGGAAGGAATTTGCAAATATAAATCCACTCTATTATTTGGTTATTTTATTAAAAATATCTCATTTCATCCATACATCCCAAATTGGATGGAATAAAAAATGGAGATTTCATCCATACATCCCAAATTGGATGGAATAAAAAATGGAGATTTGGATGGAATCCTGCTCTATTTCATTCTATCAATTATTTGTAAATCTAAACATTGGAATCAGGTATATTGATTTTTCAATGGATCATTCTTTGATACCTTCAACTAGTTCTCAAATTCCAAAGTATTTAATATTTAACAATTGGTGAAGTTCACAATTGGTGAAGTTCATAATTATTATCAGAATAGTTAACAATACTAAGTTCTTGTGTTAATGATATCATCCCTAGTGATATTAATAATACTCAAGATATGATAAAGAAGTATGAGGAAGAGTTAGATTATGTAAAGAATTTACTAACTTTTTGTAGGCAAAGTTACCCTAATGGTGGTGGCAAAGTTACCCTAATGGTGGTGTTAATGCACAAGGATCATCTTAAACGAGAAAATCATTCCTGATCAATTCATCAAAGATCATGTTGATCATTTTATTTCAGGATTTTACTGGTGTCTTTTTTTTCTTTCTTGGTATATTTTTTGCTGTTATTTTCAGTACAAACAAATTGCTTCAATATTTTGAACCCTAATGTGTCGTGTCTGACGTAAACGTGTCTTAAACGAGAGATACACTGTTACAATCTGAAGCGTCGTTGCTACATCAAAACCGATTCGACTCTATAAAATATAGATGAAATCATAAAATGCCTGCAAAAACCACCAGACAAATAGCCCAAATCTATTTTCAAAACATTGTATAAACCCAAATTAAAATAGATAATCTTAATAGAATTAATAAAATCACATTGATAAACAAACTAGATATAAGAAACATATAATATAATTACCACCAGAAAATTTTCCAAAATTTAAACAAAAACAAAATTAAGTTAACCAACATAAGATCAAGTGCAAATGTATGGAATCAAATTACTGAAATCATAAAAAGCAACAATATAAAAACCTAAGCAGTAAGAACAACAGCACCACCAGCTTCCTTGATCTTCTTCTCTGCGATCTTCGAAATGAGCTTCGCCTTAACAACAATAGGCTGATTACTAGGTAAAACACCCTTACCAAGAACCTTGAAGAAACCGTGTTGCGTAACATCAATAACAGGTGCAGTTCCCTTCGATTTCGCAGCCTTTTCCTTCACATCTTCAGGAATCAGCGACCAAAGCTTGTCGATGTTCACGATCGGGGAGTAGAACTTGTTGCGGAGCTTGTGGAAGTACCTCATACCGACTTTACCGAAGTAACCGGGATGGTACTTGTCGAACAGGATACGGTGGTGATGCATACCTCCGGCATTACCACGACCTCCAGGATGCTTTCTGTGCTTTCCGATTCGACCGTGGCCGGCGCTGACATGGCCGCGCTTCTTCCTGTTCTTCTTGAATCGGGTTGTCATTGTTGCCGTCTGGTTCCACCACCGCCGTCTGAAACAGAAAAATAAAAATAGGGTTTTGTGTTATTGTATATATGATTTGAAGGGGTTTACTTTTTAGTCCCTAGGGTTTGGGGTTTACAAGACTTGGAGTTAAGGGTATTAATGGAAAAATTAAATTGAATTGGATTTGGGCTTTTCATTTCCTGTCTGGGAACCAATAGTTTGTAATATTTGAAAATTCTATTTGCTACCTTACATATGTACATCCACCTCCAATTTTTTTTTTCTTCAATTTACTCTCATAATTAACTCTAAATAAAATTATTGTAATTTTTATTAATTGATTTTTTTAATTTTTTTATTTCAATACACCTAGTTTTCCAAATAATAAATGAAAAATCCAAAACACGAGAATCCATTCCAAACTTTTTAATATGTCAAATATTTAATATTTCCTAAAATTAAAATGGATACACATTAATATGTGAAAACTAGTATATATTATCAATATATTTTGTCTCGATAAATATTTTGGTTATATATGCTGTGGGTTTTAGACTTGACATTAAGTAAATCCCTCGTGAAACATATTTTCAGTCATTATTTAAATAAGTTTATAGATTGTAGTATCATGTAGTGGAACACATTAATTTTTTTTCTCTCCCTCTTTGTTAGACATCACAGTGAGGCAAAGCGGTGATGAGTTTATGTATTGTCAGTTTTACCCCTGTCCAAGATAACAAATGATTAATCACCCTCGTCCCTAATGAGAAACATATTCTTTTTCCTCGCCTTGTCCTCCGCCTACAGAAAATGTATATTTTGGTGATTCTGTTTATAATTTGTAGGGATAGAAAATAAATGAAGAGATATGGGATAAAAATTTCACTAATAACTATATATTAGAGGTGGAAAAATGGATGGATTGGATTGTTATTGGATGGATCAAAGCAATTCATTAATTCATTAACAATCCACTCAACTCTCTTAATAAAAATTCAATCCAATCCATCCATTAAAAAATAAAATTAATCCAATTCATCCATTAACATATTTCTAATAGATGGATATTCATCAATCTCAAAAATTAATTTAAAAATTCTTAATTTAATAAGTGACAACATAATATCCAATGGATTTATAAAATGAGATGAATGGATTATCCATCCATATGAGTTAGTGGATGGATTGGATCAAATCTATTAAATTATTTTTTGTCTTATAGATGGATTGAATGGATAAATTATTGAATGAATTGGATGAATATTATTTAAATGGATTTCATTGCCACCTCTACTATATATATATATATATATATATATATATATATATATATATATATATATATATATATATATATATATATATATATATATATATATATATATATATATATATATATATATATATATATATATATATATATCCTTTCAAAGGCTAGGTTAAGGGATAATTACATTCTTGACAAATCACTTATGTGTGACCTGTGGCTTGACATGTAGAATCTGCACTATTATACTTAGAAGAAGTACATACTGAATAAGTTATAGGTAGAACATGTACTATTATACTCAGAAGAAGTACGTAATAAATAAGTTATATTTATGATTGGGTGGTGCATTCTTTCAACGCACTAGCATTACATAAAGAAACATTGCATATCATAAACTAGTGTATACAAGTGATTATATAAATAGAGTCTTTATTCTGAATTGATAGTCATTCATTCACCTGTTCTCAAAAGTCTAGCTGCACTTGTTGAATTGTTTTCATATTCTCTCTAAAACTTATGTTCTTAAATAGTTAAAGTCATTCATTCACGGATTCACCTATTCTCAAAAGTCTAGCCGCACTTGAATTGTTTTCATATTCTCTTTAAAGCTTATGTTCTTAAATAGTTAAAAGTTCTTAAATAGTTAGCATTGTAGCCGAAGGACTCCATCGTTACATACTCAATTTGTGTGGACTTGGTAGAAACAGTGTTGTAGGTGTTGTGTTTATAATTAATTAGTTTTTACAATCAATGATTTAGTTGAACAATTTCAAAATAAATGACCCAGATACAATGCGTTTAATAGTCATAACATTTTTTTGAGTAAGCTGGACACTTAAATATAAATGAAGTGATTGTTTGTAATAGGCATAACATTTTTTAGAGGTATATTATTTGAACAAAGGTTATGCGATTGTCTAATACCATCTCCTAGTACTAGTCTGTCGTGAAAAAGACATACCTTTCTATAAAACTAAAAACCAATTACGGTCAAGTTGAGTTGAACATAGTCTAACTCATCCATCCCTAACAGAGAGCCAAGCATAGGATATATAAACATAAGGACCTCAATAAGAGAAAGAAAACTAAACCCAAAGAGGACCTCAATAAGAGAAATTTTAAATTAACTTCCATACTTGACAAAACCAAAAAGACACATAATTGATTGTATTTTGGATACGTAAAAGACACATAATTGATTGCATTTTAGATACGTCCTGAAATTAAGTTCCGAATTTTAGAGATATTCCAAGTCTGGGTTCTAAAGCAAGCACTTGTTGGCCAACCCTCTTTTCAACTTTCGGGTGTATAATATCTTAAGCTTTAATTTAACTCGAAAGTATTCTTAGCCAAAAACCCTTACACTTTACGCAATATTTTGTATATAGCTTAACTTCAACGGATAAAAGGTATGGGATGTGTTGATTTTTAACACGTAGCAGTAACATCCAAGAGGAACAATCTCATTCATAACAAGTTTAATTTAACATAAACCTTAGTTTAAACATTATATCCAACTATGGCTTCACATATTCTCTGATAAACTCTTCTAGCTGAGATATCTCTCCAGTTAAACCCGAAGCATCTGCAGTTGTAACTTTGTTAGAGCACTGAGTAAAGGAAAATGGCTCGCCAGGTACTCCCAAAGTGAACTCATTTGTAACGTCAGCTTCTGAAACCGCGCTTCTTGATGACCGTAATTTGTCACTGAAAAAAAGATAACGTGAGTCAATAAGAGTTAAAACAAACCAAACATTTATTTGGGTGTGAAGACAAATAACTGAAACAGTTTAGGACTTGCAGCCATACATTTCTTTCTCGAGCTGCCTGCGGATGAATTCTTTAGTGTGAGCAGTAACTTTGTCTGCTTTGTTGCAGAGAATAAGCAGAGGAATCTTCTTCCTCACAACACTTCCCTTGGTCAATATATCATATAGGTACCTTGACTCGTAAAACAAAATGTCAGTATCTTTGTAATTCCCAATCCCGTCTTCCTCAAGAAAAGTGAGAAATGGTTAGTTTAACGTGAATAATATACTGCTTTAATATCGTGAGTATTCTATTTCTAACACACCCCAACATGGCGAACAACTACGATTAACAAAAAAATGTAACTTTATAAAAAGATAACGATCTAGCAGCTGAGTGGAGAAGGGAATTACTCTGAGGCAGCACGACAATTTGGTAAGAAGTCTAAAGCATCGACCACAAAGACTGCGCCAGCTGCTTGAGGCAAGTACTCGTCCAGTTTGGGTCGAAGACGAGAATGTCCAGGAACATCAACAATATGAACAGGTTTTATCTTGCCCTTCTGTCAAAACCAAAGAAACGTATGATAATATTTGGTCTATTATTGTATATCTGTCTTCACAATTATTATACAAACATTTCAACAACCCAAAAACATTCTTCAACCTCACAATAAAAGACAGGTATATTGATTTTGTAGAAACGAGAAGCACAATATCCGCATACCCAAAAAAGTTCAAACTCATACATTCAAACTCGTACTTGGGTGGAGGAGGTTAGCATTACCTTTGTTGTTTCACTATGAAGAATAAAAGTATCTTCATTCGGTTCCATTGATGTAACAGTACCCTGATGAGTAGAGCCATCTCTAAGCTGACGCAAACATAAAAGTGTGTCAAGAACATTACGTTAGTGCAAATTTGAATAGAAAGAAAATTAATGATAATATCCCTAATGAAATAAGATACTTTCAGTTTATGATCAACCACCTAATCCTAACTCTTCTTTTCCCTCACATAAAATTATACCAACAATATTTGTTCTTAAATAACTACAATTGTATGTCACTTTATTACTACAAACTAGACTACACTATGCAGTTCAAAACCTCGTTCGTAACATAGTAATCAATAGCGGCACTATCCCGATATTGCAAGCGGAGGCTGGCCGCTATGGGAAGAGCCTGGTGCAGAACACTATAGCGGACGCTATAGGGTAAATAGTGGGTAGCGGGGGGCGAAGCGGTGTCCTGCTATCCTTTTCCCCTCTGAAAAACCGAAATTATCCCTTAAATTTAAAACGTTTTAAGGGTAGTTTTGGATTTTTCAATCAAATTTGAGTTGAGACTTAACCCTAACTTTCATTCACCGACGTTTCTGCACTTGAGTAGTTACAAAGAAAAATCACAAGTTCCTCCCTCATCTCTCTCTGCACTACCATCCCGCTATATGTTATCGCATTATCCCGCTATCCCATTTTTGGGGTCGGCCGCTCCGCGTCGCTATCTAGGATTGATTACTCTAGTTCGCAACGAAAACTGAATTGCTCACCATGGATTTAGACCTAGAGAAATCAATTCATTTCTTGTTTTCAGATTACAGAAAACAAAGGATTCTTTCAAAACCACCTTACAACCCCACCATCATAATATTCAGATCCTTTCAACAAACCCTTCAAACATAAGGAAAATGCAATTACGTAGTAGTTTCCAAGAAAGAAAGTTATTTATTTCTTTTAAGCACTCATTCCTAACCCCACTATCTTAGTCCTAGCTCAAAACCAAAAATTGCTGAAAACCTAAAATATAAAGCAGTAGTATCCTACATTGCATCTTTACTTCACAAATAAACACAAAATTAAGCATATAATGAAAGTGACCTCGAAACAACTCTATACCCATTAGACTAAATCGGGCATCTATGTACCGACACTTCTTTAAAAAGATGTGTCTGTGTTGGTATCAGACACCTGCACCGACATTTGTGATTACAATTAATTTATTCATTTTTTTCCAATTATTATCGGTGTCGTCGTGTTAGTGTCGGGGTTGTATTCGAGGTGTCTGTGCTTTGTAGACGGCATAAAAAACACACACACTTCAGATTAAATGCATGGCCATGTCCAATACCACCAAATTACATTCAATCAGTTCCATTTTACCAAATTATTATCAGTGTCAACTAATTATCCACTAAACCAAAACAGTTTAGGTTTAACATCAAAAATCATAATCACCTGATAGAAGAGAATGGTTTTCCCACTGCCACTGAGTCCCGTCAACACAATGGTGTTAGATTTGGTACGGTTCAAAAACCGCACTACAGAAACAAACAAAAAAACCATCAATGAAAAGCTCAGAATCGAGCAAATAAGTAGAAAATCAAGAACAAAACAAAGCTACTTACGTAAGAGAAGAAACAGGGTTGTGAAAACGGCGACAGCAACAGCGGCATAGAGTTGATTTGGGGGAATCTGGCTAAGATAATCATTTGCTACACTCCAAATATGAGAAACCTGTTCTTTCCATTGCTCTAACTCTTGCATTGTGAAATCCAAGATATTTTTTCTCTCCAAACTCGTTTTTTCTTGAATCACTTAAAATATATATTTTTTATTACAAGGATTTTCCCATTTTGGTTTATTATGCGCTTTTATCATAATAAAATATTTTTATGACAAAATAGTGTAAATAGAGTCAAACTGTATTTACTTTTTAAACTAGTAGAAGATCTATGAGAAAAGTATAATTTTATCGAATTCAAATTTCATAAAAAAAGTATACTCAAATGTATATTAAAAGTAATATTTATGCATGTTTATATTTGTTTGAATCTAACGGATGGTATTTGTGTAACTTTATGAAGTTGTTCAATAATATTTTAAACATTATAGTAAAAAATTGAAATACATAATCAAGATTTTAGATTTTTTTATTTTTTAGAGTAATATTTATACATGATTCATTCTTTAGAGCAATAGAGTAATATACAATTTTATGATAAGCTTATATGGAAAAAAAATCAAATACATCAAATTTTGAATTATTTGACATTATATTAACTAAATATTATCTATAATTTAAAGATATAAGCTTAAAAAAACAATAATAGCCTTTGTTTATTATCAATTTATATCAGGTTCAATTTGTATATACATTACAGTGTCTTACACATATATTGAACTAATATTGAATTTTGAGGATGTTAGTTATTACTCAAAATTCTCAAAACCTTCATAAAAAAAAGTCCAAGAATTCACCTTTTAGACAATGATATATTTAACAAATATTGTATATTTAACAAATATTGTTAATGATCCATATAAAAACATATAAGTAAAGAAAAATATAACAAATATTGATATGATATTAAATTATTTAGACATAGATGTAAATTTAAAATAAATTACTTAATTGTAAAATGATTAATGGTCATATAAAATCAATTGTATTAAATAAGCATTTGAAAAGATAAAAATAAGACAGGTCTAATGAAGAAAAAAAAACAAAAAATTGATATTTAAAAATAAATATTTTATATCTCAAATAAGTGTAATTGTTAATTAAAATACCATATATAAATGTCAAGTTTAGCTTGAAATTTATTTGATAGCTAACACGAATAAATTTATTTGATACAGTATAAATTGTATTTAAATGGACATGTAAATTTTAAATAAATTATTTAATTATAAAATAAAAGTTGATCTTATAAATTTAAGTGTATTTAATAACAATATAAAAAATAACATGTGAAAAGGAGAAATAAAAATAAAAATTAATTTTTTACATTTAAAAATAATAAAAACAGATATTAATTAAAATAAATATGTTATATATTGATAGTGACTCGTGTAATAAAAAAATTTATTATCATATATTTATGTGTATCTTAACCATCATGATGTTGTTTATTTATAGTATTTTTGAATAGTCACAAAATAAATTTTCTAAAATTTACTTTCCTTTAAGATTTGAAAAAGTAATATTTAGAAAAAATGGTTTTTTAAAGAATTTTGTAACTTAACATTTATTATATATATAATTATACAATAAATATTTATTAAAGTAAATTATATGTTGATCTTTGATAATAATCATTTTTAATTAAGTAGTTAATAAAGATAATTTTTAAAATAATTGATCAATCAAATAAAAAGTTACGTTTAATTTTTAAAAACAATATTGAGAAACCTTTTTTTAATATATCATTTGCTTGCAACTTTGTATTCATGTCTTAAAAAAACATAAATCTTTTTAGCCATATTCTTTAATTATTATTTAAAATTAAAATATAGTTTCTCAATAAAAGATTGATAAAAATAACTTTTTAAAGCTCTAATTATTATTTATATTTAATTTAATGCATTATAACTTCATCTTAATTCTTAGTAAAAGATTGATAAAAAATTTACAATATCATTTTATTAAATGAATTAAATTTGATTATAATTGTATGTTGTTGCTGCTGATCACCGATACCAACACCGATCCCTTGGATTCATTTAAATTTGATATATATGAATTAAATGAATCAAATTCTAGGATACGACAAACGATACCAACACCGATCCCTTGGATTATATGTTTTGTTGCTGCTCATTCATAATGAAATCCGCATTTTCGGTAGAAAAGTCTGGTCGTTGCTGGGATGTTGCTACTTGAGGCTGCCACGACATGTTTTTCCCATGTGACACAATTTTCACATGAGTTATAAAATGTTATAATTCAAACTTATGATTGGCTGGTTAATCAAAACAGAGCCAATATTATGTGATTCAATAAAAGACAGCAAGTAAGGAGCCAATATTATGTGATTCAATATTATGCAGACTTTAATTGTTGACTACAATGCCATAAAAGGTTATTCTGCAAAGAAGAAATGTTAGAGGATGTTGAAGGGGTTCTGTATGAGCTTGAAAATGTTTCTAAAACACCCAAAGGATTACCACAAGCCATACACATAGTATTAGACCCAACATGGTACCTTCTCAGCCTACAAGTATATATAAGCATAATCGGGAGCAAGAATGTCATCATCAGAAATATATTCTACCAAATGGGATAACAATCACAAGGCACAAACTACCGACCAGTAACAACCTGTAGTTTCTCATATAAGGCCAGATACTCCTGCACTTCCGATTTTGATTTTTCTATCTTATCTTTAACCAATTGGAACGCATGGGAAGAGGTAATACACTTCAAATTCTTCAATGTGTTCTGACGTAATCATTTGAAGTCAAAAACCATGTTGTGATAGAAAAGGAAAATATACAAACAAATGTGCATAACATCATAATCATAAACAATAGTAAAACTTAGGGTGTCAATAGTGCTAAATAGTGGCAGCAGTTGCTACAACAGTAGGTTCATTGATTATCCTAAGCACATTCAAACCAGAGATAGTACCGACGTCCTTTGTAACTTGTTTATGAATAAGCCGAAACAGTAACAACCGCGTTTTTCACTGATTGACCTAAAAATGCTCCTGCTATTTCCCTTATTTTGATTCAAAACAAAACAGATAATAACCCTAAAGCTTTAAAGTAATTGTTGATTTAGTAACAAAACTATATAAAGGATATATTCACTTATGATTTTCGATCTGTTAATCTCCATTTGGCCCACTGGCATAACCTTGTAGATGGATCCTTTTGTAGCAACTGTAGCAAATAAATAGAAATTAATTTGCAGTCTAAAATGAGTTAAATTATTTAAATAGAATGTATTTAAGGTACCTTTTTGGAGTAAAGAAGAACACTGGTATATGAATGTGACTCCTATTGAAGAAGCTCAGGACTTAAGTTTTATTAAGGTTGATGAAGTCAATGGTTCTTTAAACCATTGATATGTCCATTAATAAAAGGATAGACAATAAGAACAAAGGTATATCCTTTGTTTCTATTCCTGATTTATAGGCAGTGAGAAATGAGTATACTATCATACTTGAAAGATCCATTACTTAAAGTGTAATGGAGAAAGATGGATGGATAGTCTTATAATATGTTAGCTCAGTCCCTATCACAACTGGTTTGTACTGTGTACATATCAATTAAACTTAATCACTCCACTTAAAAGTGCATAGAGGGTCTTAAAAGGAACATGTTATATGGTGAGTCCAAGATTTTCTGTTATCAGGTTCAGAGAGTTCAAGTGTTGGGAGGGTATATTGTATATAAAAGTATCAAATTCTTAAGATCAATTGCTACGTGACAGTTTTTGAGAAAACCAACTTGTCAGCTACCTCATGTTCTTGGAATTTCACATTTGCTGTGTGATTTTGGATACACTCAATACCATGTACTGCTGAGAACCTCTTGATGTCAAACCACTATACTGTTGTAGCTTAAATTTGCTAGCATCACCAGGGCAGAAGGTGGTAGGTTTCTGACGGATTCCTCAGAAGCACCTGAAACCTATGATCACCATAAAATCATATATGATTCGCTCATGGTGAATTTCAATTATATAAAAAGGAATGAAAACTACACTTCTCTAATTTCTATATTTTCATGGAAGGCTTACAGGAATGAAGTATTATATAGAACCTCATTATAAACAACTTTTTCATGGAAGGCTTATTTGGTGTCTTGTTGTTCAGCGACTCGAAGAGACTGATAACTTGTGCAGAATCACCGTTGCGAGCATACCCAGATATCATTGCATTCCAGCTTACCAGATTCTTATCGGAAAGCACATTGAATATTGAAATCATCCATCTGCAAGTTTCTCAACTGAATTTTACCAAACATATCCAAAGCTTTAGAAACTCGATTTATCATCCAATTGGCGGTTTGGCACCCTTTGATCTTGTTAATTTTCTCTTCTATTTCCAAACTCTTAAGATAGTCAAACTGAAACAACAATCATCATGTTATAAACATCGAAATTTCTGAGCCAATGATAGTTTTAGCTGCATTAACTGGTGTCCGGTGACGAAAAATTACCTCGGGCTCGTGACTCTGAAACTCGGTTTTATAGTGGAACTCAGGATGCCGGCTATTAGAATAGTCGGTACTCTCCAAATCCTTTTTTGATCATGCTAAATTACATTGTAAATACACAAATATTAGCAATACCAAGTTGGTTTGAAGGAATCATTCAAAACTAAGTTGATATGTTTTGCTTAGAAATGAAAAAATCAGACTTACATCTTTTGAATCTGTCCGTTCAAAGAGAACTACTCGACCACCGCGGTCACCGGTAGCAAGATGATCACCAGACTTGTCAAATTCAATAGCAGAAATTATGTCCACTGTAGAAACAAAGTTGAATCGATAATTAGAAAACTAATCCAGATAGGTCAATCACTCTGGACTGGAAGAATTTATCATTCGGTTAATGGTGTTTATAGGCAGAACATAAATACCCAACAAAAAAAAACCCTACTGAATTCATATACTCTCTACTTCCTTAAACAAAAGTGCTCATGTATAAGTTGTTTTATAAGGAAAGATAAAGTCAAACGGTTTTTCGTATATGCTAAAAACAACTTATGTAAATGGCATAAGTTGTTTCTACAAGTTTTAACAAACAATCTCAGTAGTGTTTATGTCAGAAAGTAGATAAATTCAAATAAGCTAATTTAAACCGACCCAGGGGCATGTTTGGATTGATTCATTTGAGTTTATCTACTGAAAAATGTATGGTGACATTGTTTGACAGAAATTTCGAAATGGAAGTAACTCATGATTCGAAATGGAAAATCATGATTCAAAAGTAACTCATGATTCAAAATGGAAACTCACCGAAACCGCCAGAAATTTCGGAACTGGAACACAATCTAAAACTTAGTTGAGCCGCAAACCATGAACTGAGTGGGCGAGCATCGTTAACGTGTGTATGAAGAACCACTCATCAGTGTAATTGCTCCACTTAGTCCAAATGTGATCATCCAGAGAGTCGTTGATGTATTCTACCTGACAAAACTAAGTTACTAATAATAAGTTGATGAAAATAATCATAATAATAATCAACAACAAAAAGCTTGATTCTCAATTATTGAACAAAAATTCTTAAACTCTTAAAGAACATGATAATTCAACAAACATCAAAAAACCAAAACACAAGTTGTAGATCAAGTTGGAAAATAACATTAGATAGCATATATTACTAGGAAAATAACATTAGTTATAGATCAATTTAGAACCACTTTGGAAGATGGTAAATGAAATCACCATGTGTGCATCTATAGATCAATTGCTACTGAAATCACCATGTCCTGTGCTAAAATGCTATGAATGTCATTCCTAATGTAGTTGTGGCACTTGCTACCTGCAAGATCATCAAATACTATAAGATAACTATAGATTATCATCAATTCATGTAATGATAGAAAGAATATAGTAGAATTTACCGAGACGTAGTTCCAAATTCGATAAACAAATGACCCATAACAAATCCAACACCTACACCAAAAAGGCCACCCAATATTCCAGCTAGCAATGAACAGGAAAGTGATAAAATTAGAAGGTTCACCCAATATTTTTTCTTTTCCTTTAGCACAGGACTTGTTTTATAGTCTCAAGTTCTTAATCCAGGACAACATCCTAATCCTCGTCAGTAGCTTCTACCCAAAACCATTTAAAATCATGTTGCACCCCAACCTAACATGTCATCGGTCACGACTCTATCCTAGACTCCCAGCCAGAATATTAGCCAAAATTCCAACACACAACAACCGCAAAATTCCACGAGTTATTCTATTGGCCAGAACTCCAATATACAGTGTATGTTTCTTGGTTTTCAGAGACAAATTCCAGGTAGGCAGCAAGTTGTTCCCCTCAGCAACAACAACAACCACAAAATCAACAGATTCTTTACCAGCAACAGCAACAGCAACAGGTTATGAAGCATAAGATGTCTCAGATGCAGCAGCAACAACAATAGTAGAACCTTCTGCAATCAAATCAGTGAATACCTCTCAACAATCTGTTATGCAAACATCATCTGCTATGCAGCCTTCAACGATGCAATCGTCTCTATCATCTAGCCTTCAGCAACAAACATTTCCAAATTATTAGGCAGCCACAACAACAAAAAATATTAGCATATTTAGTGTTTCAAGTAATTTCTTAGTACTTCTTGGGTTTCCTTTGTGGAATATAAAGTGGCATATCAATATGCATATATTAGGCCCTCATTAATTTTCACACTAAGCGCAGATTAAACGCAGTTAACTGTCTAGAAATAACAGGTGCTGAGAAACACTACTTATTACAATTATATGCACAATTTGACATTCCAAATATTGAATTTCATGAACAAAAAGAAGATTTAGATTTTATGAAGTAGGAAATCACCTGTATAAATTGAAGCCTCACGAGCAGCCACTGGCATGTTTGAAGTGTTAGCCACAAGTGTTGTACGCTTCATGACAGATTCTTCACGGCCATCAGGTAATGTCATTGTAAGTTGTGGAAAGTCCATCAGAACCTGAACAATCATTAAAATGATTTTACCAGACGAATACCAGCAAGCACAAATATTTCATAGAAGAAATCACCCAAGAAACATGAGATTCTTGGCTCTTGAAGTCATCACCCAAGAAGTCCTGATGTAATTAAAACAAATTAGTTCCTGATGATAATGTTCATCCTTTCAAAATTATACATGTAAAATGTTTTTGAAAACTCTATTGGACTTCACTCAAGAAATAAATGGACTAAAATGCTTGATATTAGGGCACCAGGTGAAGTCCTAATATTAAACATTTATGAAGTTACATTCTAAAAACTCTATTGGATATTTTCTTCAAATATAATGTTCATCCTTTCAAAATTATACATGTAAAATGTTTGCAAATTAATGCCTATATGCAGAATCTACATCAGCTCATTAAAAGTTCAATGCTTGCATAGGGAAATCAGGGAAGCAGTATTAGAGAAATGAATGCAATTGAACTCCAACTAATTGAGTCAACTAACTATCTGTTAGTTAGCATATAATTTCACTTATGCAACAGAAACCTTATAAAACAATTTCTGTTTAAAATATAATTTCCTTGTTTAGTTTTTTTTGAACAGTTTTTTAGTAAAAGAAAATAGCAGGTTCTTATGGAAGTGAACCAAAAGAGAAAGAATATGGTGTAGACTTCATCCTTGGTACCGTGTTCGTAAACCCAAGTTCCATGTCATCTAAAAAGTTGGCTAAAATAACATCACTGCCATGTGTGTCCTCTATAAAGAAAAATAGTTCAACAAATCATATCACTGAGAAAAATGAGGCTTAGCAATTGCAAAAAAGGGAACACACATACTTCCTTCTGTTTCAAAATAAACTTTGAATCAACACAAATTCCTTCCATGTTATCAATGCAAACGTAGCAATCATGCCTGAACCAAAAAAAAGACCACCACACTGAATATAATTTACATAAACAAATTATAACTAAACCCGTAAACCACAACATAAAAAACCTTGAATCTCAATTGGGAATATTAAAGTTAAACCCTATATCATAAAATTAAACAAAATCATGGCTCATTTTTTATACAACATAAACCATAAAATGAAGATTTTACATTTAAAACACCAAAATTATACGTTTTCAGAATCGGCACACATGAATGTAGCTCCCAAATTGAAGTTAAATAACCTTACATCATCACCAAATATAATGTGAGAAAATAACATATACATTATAGAATGAAAAATAGTACTAACCAAACACATTTGATGCACCAACCAGAGCACTTACTGCAACATCTAAAGCGATTCCAACATTGCAGACCTAAGTTGAATAATAAACCACAACATTTATTCCAGCTAATTGTTGGAGCAAGAAACATGTTGCGCCAACGCTGACAACTGCAACAGTAAATATTTTAGAAAAGTGTTACAACAATTCATTCAGCATTAATCATGAACAAACCAAAATGAAGTTGAGAAGTGAGTCTAATAAGTAAATATAATTATGCTTAAATACACTTCAAAGATATATGTCATTTGATAATCAAACCTGGAGTAATAAATTTTACAATACCTTTTCGATATCGGCTATTAAACAGTTCAAACCATCTTGTTTCTGGTTGAGAAAAACCTTGACTTGCTGAGATTGGGAATACGTAAATGTCAATCCTTTGCACATCAAAGTATCTGACAGTATAGATTGGGAAAAATATAGATGATGAGTAATATGGTGCACATATAAGGTTTAATGAGGGTATGCAAAAGATAGTTACCTTTTTCATGATGTCTCTCAACTTGGCAGCAGTAATGCCAACAATTGGGACGCATTCTTTGTTCAACTTCTTTTTTAGCTTTTATATACATCTTCTGGTATGTTCAATAATTTCACACACACAAAGCCGGAAGAAGAGAATCGGAATTCTCCATATCAGAGTCTTAAGTTACATATTACAAATATGTCGTGAAAGACACTTATCGTCTTGGTTAACAAAGCCAGCTAAATTCTGGCTTAAACTAAGCCAGTCGCGACAAAACCATATAGAATAACTACCTAAAATATTTCTGGCATAGGCAAAACATGAAAATGTGACATAATCATATCATTTAACTCACATATTAAATGCAACACTAGTTCAGATGAAAGAAACTAATGCATAGAGAACAACACATAATCATTTCCTTTATTTTTAAACCAACCAAAATGGAAAATCCAAAATAGAACACGCAAATCCATTCCCAGAAACCAGTAACAGAGAAAGACGAGGGGAAGAGAAGTTGGAAAAGTTTCAGATCCGAACTTGTAAACCAAACCTGAGTTTTGAAGCGAGAAATGGATCAAGAGAGGCGGAGGGGGAAAAAATGAACCTTCAAAGTAAAAACTCATCACCACAACAACCATAGACCTCCATTAACCTTCATCGACTCTTTACCTTCTTCAATCTTAAACCCCTTTTCTAACTAATCAAATATTTCTCCCATAAATAAACCAGAACAAAATCTAGAACCATAGATCCGAGAATGATTGAGAGACGAGAAGGAGCGAGTGATGTGAAGGATTGAAATCAGACCTTAAATCAAACACGAATCCAAAAATGTATCGAAGAGAGTGGGATTCCGAAACTGAGCAAGTCGTACGAAGGTCGTTCTTCTTCAAATTGCTTTCCCCTATCCTTTGTTTGTCGTGGCTCGCACGATGATGATGATGATTTGGAGAGCTCCGTTCTCGTTTTTTTGTTTTCAGAAAATATAATTTTGGGAAAGAGAGAGGAAGAAAATTGAAAAGAGGGAGAAGGTGAGGGAAAGAGGGAAGACAAAAATTAGAAAGAGGGAGAAGGTGAGGGAAAGAGGGAAGACAAAGTTTTCAAAACAATTCTGCCACTTGGCAAAATTGGACCAAACTATTGGTCAATGTTTTTGTATTTAGTAAATTACTCAAAAGAGCATAGTCTAATATTAAGTAAAAATCAATTGAAGGGTAAATTAGGGAGGTTGGTGGCATCTTCATTAATGGGTAGGTATTTGATATAGTAATTAAGAATGTAATTTTATTTTAAAAAAGTGTTAATTGTGTTAAAATTCTTATGCAATTGTTATTTTTGAATTTTTCTTTTTATATTTTAAATTTAATTAGTGACATTAATTAAAATTATAACATTACTATTTCACAATAATTTTCTTTAAAATTTCTTTATAATTGATGATTTATTTATTTTTATTAAAAACGACATATATTCATTCAAATTAATAGAATACATCGGATAATACAAATTTAAAATCGCTATAAACTAAAAAAAATGAATCAACAAACAAATTCACAACATCTACGTTAATAACATATAACGGTAAAATGCTTATAAATGTAGCAAAGTCTACAAATATGTCAAAGTTGAAATGATTAGAATATCCGTCTTCGAGTCTACAACGTTGACGACGTCAAAGTCATTGATAGAGATGACAATGTGTAACACTCTTCTAAACTCCACCGATAATTTAATTGAAATCACCACAAGGGCGTCACACGTCATAAAACATAAATTATCGTGCTTCGTAACACGGGTTATAGAAATAATCTTTTTTCATAATCATACACATTCACAATATTTATACAACTTATCATTATATTAAAAACATCGCAACGGAAATCGTCATTAAATAAATATTCTCAACTTTTAATCTCATGACATTTAGTCTCATAATAGAATTGAAATAAAAATAGTTCAACAATAAAAAATCCATGCAAAGATTCCAACATAGATATAACAAAAAGCATTCAATCAAGCTTTCCCAACCTGATGTTACATATCAGGGCAAAACACCTATAAATTAATGGTAACTGCTAAAATGCTCTAATGAGCTATCATCCTTATTTTAGCAAGCTACTATGGGATATCTGCATGTTATCCACGTGGAGGCAACATTCAATTTGAAGGGAATCATAACCAATTATAAAAGGCATAAGAGAAAAGTACACTTAAACAAATATATTCTACAATTGACATCATCATTACAACATGTACTCTCATCTTCGTTCATCACACACACACACACACACACACACACACACACACACACACACATATATATATATATATATATATATATATATATATATATATATATATATATATATATATATATATATATATATATATATATATATATATATATATATATATATATATATATATATATATATATATATATATCACACATCATATTCATCACCAAATTCTCACATGAATCACATAACATGTCACAAGTAGTATTATCACAACATACTTTATCAACAAAACTCATGCAATGTCACATGGGATGTTAATGCAACAACACCGATACGATGCATGTGGTACCATAACATGAACACTTGGGTTCATTTCACTCCATGATCCCCAGCATAAGATTGATTTCCTCTTGAAACCGGAGTACACCAAATGGCTACTATCACCATAGGTAACGCTTTACTAAATACTCGAACCATCACCATAGGAAATGAGGCCACAACATGATTCAGAACATTAGTTCTACAACATGGATGCATGGACTCTCTATCATGCAACAACAATGAAAACATATGTTCGACCTCAACTAGTCAAGTGTATCATCAACAACATAACATGTATATATATATATATATATATATATATATATATATATATATATATATATATATATATATATATATATATATATATATATATATATATATATATATTTGAACATGCACATCATTAAAACATCATCACAGTACCATCATTAACATCACAACAATATCATTGCAACAACGCTCAAGTTTCATCATTTACAATAAGACATCATAGCGCAACATACAATTACACAACTTACAACACCATTACATATAATTTAAATTACTTTCAACAACATGAAACTATTTTTAAATGAAAGCACGTTGTCTCAGCTTTCTACAACTTCAAACGGCGCGTCAAGCGGACACCCGAAACTAAAGTTATGAATTTTTTAAAGTTTTTCTAATTTTTCCTCCCAGTGTAATTGGTTAACACATATCCGGTAACCGATTACACCCCCTAAAAATCCAATTTTTACGTTTCAAGTGGTAACTGGTTACCATATTTAGTATAACCGATCACACCTGCTAGATAAGTACTTTTCTGCAATTCTTTACACGAAAATCACTTTTGAGCCTTCCCAAAACTCAAATTTTCTTATAAATCGTTTGGAACATATTTTAACACGAAAAACACTTTTCTAAAGTCCCAAATCCCAAATACTTTTCATCAAAATTACTTATAACCTTGTTTCGACTATGACTCGTGATCACATATAATAAACAACATCAACAACATACAAAAATCACTTATACGATTCCAACAACATCAACACAACAATTCAACCATTAATCACCAATTGCAACATTGTTTAACAATTCATTATTCATCAAAAAATCATTCAATCCAACACATACAACAAAACCTACCTCTACCCTTCCATCATACCAATCATAATTGAAAACCATTGCCCACTTTTACCTTGTTATTCCTAGCAATTGATCTCTTCAAGTTCTAATGGATGGATACTTCTTGCCCAAACCTCTTTCATGTTCTCCTCTCTATTTCACGTATGCTGTAAAATTGACTTCCCTATTCTCTAGTTCCCTTTATAAAACCCCTCAAATCTCTATCCATCTAATTTTCTATTTTAGTTTATTTAATTAATAAAATTGAATAATTATTTTAAATTAATAAAATGATTCCTAATTATTCTACAAGCTCTAATTACTCCATACACCTCACTACATGATCACACACCTTCACTCCCCAACTTATCTAATTAACCATAATGAATAATTAAATAAACACCATAAAATTATAATTAAATCAAATAAATTAATTTCTAGAAAATAGGGTGTTACAACTCTCCTCCACTTAAGAAATTTTCGTCCCCGAAAATTACCTGAGGAAAACAGAGTCAGATACAACTCTCTCATCTGATTCTCACGCTCCCATGTCATGTTCCCACCAGCCGGTCCTCCCCAAACTACCTTTACCAAGACAATCTCTTTACCCCGCAACTACTTCACTTCTCGATCCTCTATCTGCATGGGTGATGCCTCCACAGTCAGGTTATCTCTCACCTACACATCATCCACTTGGATCACATAAGACAAATCCGAAATGTATCTTTTCAAGTGAGACACATGAAATACATCATGAAGATTAACAAGTGGCGGCGGAAAAGCAATCCGATAGGCCACCTCTCATATCCTCTGTAAAATCTGGTACAGACCAACAAAATGCAGTGTGAGATCCCGAGATTTCAGAGTTCAACCAACACCAATTACTGGCATAACTCTCAAAAACACGTGGTCTCCCTCCTGAAACTCAAGTGTTTTCCTCCTTTTGTCATGGTAACTTTTTTGATGACTCTGCGATGCTTTCATCTTTTCTTGGATCATCTTGATCTTTTCAGTCGTCTAGTGAGCAATCTCAGGCCCGAGCACAACATTCTCTCATGACTCGTACCAACACAAAGGAGTCATACACCTTTTACCATATAATGCCTCGTATGGTGTCATTCCAATACTAGAATGATAATTGTTGTTGTAGGTAAACTCAATTAACGACAAGTAGTTATCCCAAGCACCTCCATGTTCTAGCACACAAGCCCTCAACAAATCTTCCAACACCATTTGGTCCTCTCTGTTTGACCGTCTGTCTGCGGATGATAAGCAGAACTCAACCTCAAATTAGTACCCAAAGCTGTATGCAAACTCTCCTAGAACTTCGATGTGAATCTCGGATCTCTATCAGACACAATACTTGAAGGAATACCATGCGGTTTCAGAATCTCAT